AAAGTAAATAATAATACCAGTGATATATATAATTTTAAAAACATATCATTAAAGTAGTGATACCATCACTTAAAAGGGCAGCTTGGGGCATGAAAGTGTGGGTGACTGAAAAGCCTGGTCAGTATCAGAAGTATGGGGAAGGGATAGTACATACATGCACCCACACACCACACACCACACACAGTAAGTCTTCAGGAACAGGAAGTCAGTGAGAAGCCAAGTTAATATTGAGCCCTGAACCACTGGCTCAGTCCCTAAGGAAATCAATGCATACTCCTTAGAAATAGTCCCCAAGACACCAAGGCGTAAGGGGGCAAGCACAGAGGAGACAGCGTCTGGGTACCCCAGTGTCTGCTCTCTCGTTCTGGGTCCTGGAGGTAAGTTGCCGCAGCTGGGCCGCCAGCGCCACCTACCTTCTGCAGGATAGTTGTGGCCAGCTCCTCTGTCAGCTCCTCCTTGTGGTCACGCAGGTAACTGGCCTCGTTCTGCTTGTCCTGTGGAGGGGACACAATAGCTGTAATGGCTGGGGAGGTCAAAGGTGACTTGATGGCCAGGGAGGTTGAAGGTGACCTGGTGGCCGGGGAGGTTGAAGGTGATCTGGTGGCTATGTTCTCGGGGCCAACCAAGTCTCCTGACCACACATGTTGGGGCAGGTGGCACTGCCCTTTTCAAGCGTGGCTGTGCTGCTGCTGATGTCCTAAGACCTGGGCTTTCTCTCAGTGGCAGGACCCCAACACACAGGCCCCGCAGAGATGAGAAGGGGGCACCTACCAGACTGTCCCCACAGGCCTCTGCTTTGCAGATTGCTTCTTCAATGGCCTCTTCAGCCACGCGTAATGCAACGGCCAAGGTGTCCATCATGCTGTGTCCTAGACGAGAAACAGAACACAGGCCACTTTCTGAAAATGACACATAAAAACCACTGCACCACATACAGCTTTTATGCTCACGCCCCTCAGTGGCTCTCAGGTACCTTCTGCGCTGTGGACGCTGGCACAGAAGTTCCCTTTATCTGTCTCATTGCCTTCTGCTTGTCATTCAAACGCTGTGCCCAGCACAAGTTACTTGAAAGGGACCATCTCTACCCACGGCGCTATTAACAAGCTGGTTCCTGGGACCTTGAACTTGGCCCACAGGTTCCTCTACTGAAAAACGTCAGATTCCTCCCTCCTCAACCTTGCTCCATCACCCCCCTCCCCAACTCTGGCTTGACATCCACTCCAGGTGCGCCCACAGCTGGTGGGCCTGTTCACACGGACACCAGAGAGGCTCCATCTCCTTCCCCCAACTCACCGGTGAGTCTCGGAGCAAGACTTGATTATATTCCTTATCGCACCCTAACCCTCAATGCAGCACCAGGCACCCGGACCATTGAAGAAAACAGAATTTAATAAAAGGAGGCACCCAGTTCCTCATCTACTCTCTCCCCGTGTGCTTCACTGAGTGTATATATCATTGTGACAGTGGGAATGAAAGTTATCAAATGTCCTGAAGGTCTTTGGCTATGTCTATGATTTACTATATTTTTTTTTAGACTCTAAACCAGTGGCAACATCACCACTGGCCAACCTCAATGAGTCTGACCATGCACTTGGCCCTATGATGAGTTTCACATTACAATCACAGTCCTGACAACAATGCAGTGATAGGTGTTATAAGCCAAGGGATGCAAAGGGAGGTTTTAAAACTTGCTCAAATGCACACCCATGTTTACTGCGGCTTTGTTGGCAATAGCAAAGAGCTGGAAACAACCCAAATGCTCATCAACAAATGAATGACTGGAGAAGCTCTGGTATATTCACACAATGGAATACTATGCAGCCTTGAAAAACAAGGAACTCATGAAATATTATGCAAAATGGGTGACCATGGAGGACATTATGCAGAGGGAAATATCTCAGTCAGAAAAGGACAAATATTGCATAGGGCCACTGCTGTAAAACGGGACTGACATC